GAAAAGCAGACGATTTTGGTGATATGAAATGTATTATTACTGATTCGCACACTTTCGCACGCACCAATGACCTTATAAAACAATTAGACGGCCATGATCTTTATAAGCCATGTGCGTTGTAATTCTGGAATATTATGAGGAAATTGGGGAAAACGGAATTTTAAATCACAAACAATCCAAATTTAACCTATCTGGTAATATCAACGTGTTATTCAAAAATAAAACACAGTACATGGAACAACAATTTCTGATTATTAACCACAACTGCACATCGATTTCCCATGGTTTAAGCGATTTATTATTTTCTGCGCATGTATATTAACATGTTTAAAATCACTATCTTGATTCTGTCCCGGCTCATTGGCGGTGGACCTCATGAGATCAAAGTGTAGAAACATGTACGGAATGTTATTGTGACGACATTGACGGAGACAATCACAATGAAAACGACGAAAACGACGAATGAAAACAACAAAACGACGAATGTCCATTCGTAATAGGTCCATGGTAAAATACAGGGTTTTGTGATGTGCATGTTCTAGCATAGGGCATATAAATAATAATACCCTAGGCTTCTATAGCGCATTCCATCTTCAGAGAAAATAACAATGTGCTTTACAATATTAAAACAACAAAATTACACTCCTAGTTCATGAACTAAAGATATATCAAAATAAGGACAAGATTAATAATAATCGATCATTATAAACATCGATAACAGAGAAATGGAAGCAAATTACGGAAAAGTACAGTAATTTAATTAAATTGAAGTTATGAGAATCGCATGTGAAATAAGGATGAATATAATTGTGGATTGTATCTTGTTTTCAATAAAGAAGTTAGCACTGTTTGGTTGCTGGCTAGGTTGTTGGCAGCAGTCCTTTGCGATTGGGTTGGGAGTTGCTTGTCGGTGTTGCTGTAGCCATTGGTTGGTTTTTGTTCTGGATGATGCAGGTGACTATAGCTAATTACCGGTGTAGAACATTTGTATAGACCACATTTTTAGTGTATTTTTTTTGTTTTTTTATCCTTGCTTTGAGGTAGCTTCCACTTGAATTGTTATGCTGTTGAAGGAATGGGCTCTTGAGAGATCGAGAGCTTCATATAGTTGTCAATGACTGAAAACTGGTTCAGCTTGATAAATGCCAACTTTTTTGGAAATTTGACCCCGAGCCTTGTTAATGGCTATGCAGAAGGCACGACGGAATGGAAATTGTGTATTCGTTGTAGGGCAGTGAGCGTAGCAGGTTGCAAGCCATCAAGGTTATATTTGTCAATGGCCCTTGTTATGGAAAATCATGTTGTGCAGCTAAACGACAGACTTCAGCACCTCAGGTACACGGCGGTATGAGAAAGCTTGATTAACCTAGTTACATAATCGCCCAAACTGGCCTATTGTATGTAACATCCACCTCCAGCCAAAAAATGGAGCAGAGTTTCAATCATTTAAAAAAAATTTTCAACTGCACATTTGGATCTGCCCCTCTCAAGTTATTAAAGTCGCTCCAAGTTGCGAAATCTCTTCTTCACTCTAGCGATAATGTTTTTACGATGATTCGCTCGTTGATGCTGGAACAAACAGAAAGACGATCTAACTGTTTTTAGTGTTAGGTCTAGTTATAACAGTTATAACTAGACTTCTAGACCTAGGTCTATATTCTAACTGTTGGATTCTATTTTCTGTATGAGGGCATAATGGGGGGGGGGGGGGTAGAAATGATCACTTGCAAACAATGCTATTCCAATTAACTCCATGAAAATTCTGTAGGCTGGCACTTATAAAATGAAAGCAAACTCCAAGTCAGAATTTGTATTTCTTCTTTCGATGTCTAGCAGAAAACTGTCTAATTCGGCTTCATTTAGGAGCTTATTTCTTCCGCCATTTTAGAGCAATAAGCCATCAATTTTGAACAGCTAGCAAACGGTGAACGATATGTACAGTGCATGCATTACTTATGGGACTTTTAAGAGGAGCTCAATGTAAATAACCATTGAAATTTGGGGGATCAGATTGTTTTGCACCTATGTGTCCGGGGTTAAGTTTTGTGGCTTGTATAAATGATCTTAATACTTCTATGTTCTGAACATATACATTTGGGTTATCAGTTCATTTATCTTTTGATGAGGGCGTGTGATGCACTACATTTATTATTTCTATTATAAGTTTACTAACTAACCCCTTGCAGTTTTTGTCAAAATTAGCCCCGATACCTCGTTTTCTGTAATAAGGTTACTAAAATGGCGTGACTCCTAGTGTAATCTAATAAAATAATCTCTTGCCAATCAATCACTGAATTAAACACCAATCATACAAATCACTGCCAAACAAATGATTTGAAATGAATATGTATGGGGTAGAAGAAACTAAAGAAACAAATAGTAATTGTGACAAATACAAGTAGGGAATGAGTCTAATATTATCTCTTACACTAGCTTGGTCATTTGTTTTCCTTATACAATGAATTAATTTGAGAAATCTAGTTTTGACCCATGCTTCCATGTAACTGTATAATAGTTTTAAACTACTTTGCGATATCTCTTGTGATTGCCCAAAATCCACTCTCTGTTTATGCTGTTAGATTTTCACCATTTCTGGCCTACAATGTAAGGTTCTATATTGATTTGCCCTTTGTATTTGTATGTTATATTTGAATTACATATTCTTTGTAGTCATTCAGTCTTACAGCTCTCCCTCTCTCTATATATCAGGGATGAGACAGAGAAATTCCCCCAAAAGGAGGAAGATTAAATGGGGGTTCGGGGGCATTTACGTAAAAGGACACGTTTTCCTTGCATTTATATTCTAAATTTGAGAAATATTTGTTATCCCATGTTGCTTAACCACTTGACTGTACCCACGTATGTGCTTAGGGCATTGTACTTTCAAGACCATAGCACTTTCAAGACCATAGCACTGCGTAATGAAATGATGTTATACAGGTCTTGAACAGTAGATGGCACTCTTCCCCCCAAAATCCTGTTTTGTTTTGTTTGTGTGTGTGTACAATTTTTATCAGGTTTTTGTACAGTACAAAAATGCAGTAGCACAGGGGTATGAACGCGTTTTAAGCCAATAGCAGTCAAGTGGTTAAAGGGACTAGAGGTCAATGATGCTAGATTGTACAATTAATGATTAATGTCTTATCCCCTTCTCATTCAATTCTCCTTCATTTTTATTCTATTTTCCATAATTTAGAATATATTAACGGATGATCATTTAGTTATTCAATTCACACCTTGTATAAAGTTATATCTTTCTCTCTCCATCACTCCCCTCGATTCTTTTTCTCTCCTTCACATTATTGTATGTACACATGTGCAAATTGCTTTTATATCCTGTAACATGAATTTTTGTTTTCATTGTAATTTGTATAAAGATTATTTCAATATATTTCTGCTTTCAAAGTTGTGATTTGTGCATTTTTGTCTCGGTTAAGTAGGGTTATGGCCCCCGTTGCACAAAACTTACCATTTATGGTAACTTTGCCAACAATGGTAACTACCATGGAAACCTTGATTCTGATTGGCTGTTGAGCCCTGTTACCATGGTAGTTGCCATTGATGGCAAAGTTACCATCAATGGTAAGTTTTATGCAACGGGGCCCTGAAGTGAGTAGAAAAATCAAATGACTTTTCAGGTCATCAACATTTTTATCATAATTTTAAAAGTGTTTATTCAAATTCCATTTTTGGGACCACCCTGCCTAACGTCCCAACTTTAATTTTTTCATCATATTGAATTGCATAGTCATACAAAAGAAAGAACACTGTACAGCAATGAAATTCATTTTAGGACATTTTAATAGCCGATATCTTCTGTTTGATATTAATGATTATGGAAAGAAGGCTGATGATACATTAGAATACATGTATAATAGGATAAAGCTTTAACTTAATTCAAGAAAATACTTATATCAGCATTATTTAAATAGCAAAAACCAGTTAACCTGGTGCAATATATATATATTTTTCACTTTTAAAAGAGAAAATAGTACTTATTTATATACAAATTCTTACTGACTTACAAATGAGCTGTTACAGCAAATACAAAAAAGTAATCTTATACTGGACAAGACAATTCACATGAATACAAAAACAGATCAAAAGGCATTCCTTATTATTTGCCCCAAAATACATTCTTTCATAAACATACCCTTGGGGAAGAAGGCCAAATTGTTAAATAAAGACCCTGTTAAACCCACTTTTGGTATAATGTTCCTTTTAACAATAAATTAAACATTAACAATAATCATGTACTACCGACTAACACTCGTCAATAACATATCACTGACTATTATCTTCTAAAACCCCACTAATGCCTATTACAATTGCCCCAGAAACCTTTTCATGGGAAGTCGCTTCACAATTCTCTAAGTTCATTACAACAAAAAGTTATCTTGGAATAAACCATGTACAACTTTGGTCAAAATTTGGAGAGGAAAAAAAATACTTGATGACATGCACTAATCCACACAAATTTTTAAAGAACAGAATTCTCCGTCAGAATGAATGGAAACAAAAATATGATGATTCTATGAATTTCTACACCAAATGGCATGCAGTAATTACTATTGGCCTTAATCATGGATATCTATTATATGGAAACACTACATGAAGAATGGAATAATAATAAACTGGGATGTATTTGTGTGAGAATGCCTAAGGTACATAAGAACAGTCACAACACAAAATACCAGTTACTGTTAACAAAACCCCGATACTGACAAAGAAATACCTTAAAACCCAAATGAATTTATAGCTGGTACAGACTGGTAGCTCGTCGTAGCTTCGCAGTATGTCTGTACTTTCAGCCACCACATATATATATAAGTTAAGTAATAGTGCATTGGAAATCTAATATGAATGGAGATCTAATATGAATGGAGAATAATGTATCGTTGAACAGAAGGAACAATTTGACATCTGTTCAATTTCATATTACATTTTGAATACATCCCTGCTGCTGTCCTGTGAAAGAACCGAGAGCTCAAGAATACAGATTTCAAATTTCAATTTATTAATATTTTGATGAAAATTTAACAAGTTCAGATCAAATGCTGTGCGACTTATTTTCTTCTGTACAAAAATGAATACAGAATTATTTTAGGACTGAAAAATTGCAATAAGTATTTTTTACCAAGACATGATTAAAGATTTCAGCTACCATACATTTTGTAAGAGATGCTTCCATGAAACATTAATCACTTTCTACTTTTCTCTTACATTTGTGAAACGGTTTATCAATGCCGACAATAGTTCTTTTTCTTCTGAAAGGATTAACAAAATTTTCTAGAAAATGCAGTACAAAATATTTCATATGATTTACATGTATACACCTCTTTAAAACACAGCAAAATCAAAATGAATACATTCATCTACAGCAGTCGAGTTTGCATGAAATTTACATTTAACTTTGGAAAAATGCAAACTATCATTGTAGTCCAGTTTCAGCTTGTATTTTCACAGAGCATAATTTCCTCAAAGGGAAAGAACAAATACATTGAACATTTCTAATTGCAATGTCATGATTTGGTCAGAGCATTTCTTGTTCCAAATATACAAACTATTTTCTTGTTGCAAAGAGAAGGCATCTAATGGGTGAATATGAAGGGTAGGCTTCCATACTTCTGTATTTCTGAATAAGTAGACATGCACATTAGTTCAAATACATAAAATAGTAATTTTTCAAACTCTTAGCTCCAACTTACAAATATTGCAAGTTAGGAAATACAAAACAACTTAATACATTTGCAATGTATGGCACTTCTTTCTATACAGCAACACTAAATTTAAATAGTGTTCTGTCCAAAAGCCAACAGAGATATGACACAGATATATCAAAGTAGCTAATGACTTTAGTGTATATATGCAGGTATATGAAAGACAGATATAATTTTTGTGTGTGTCAAGATTCAGGTATCTTTCTGGTATCGATGCATTGATCACAAACTATATGGGTCTTTAAGAAGATTTTTATGACTGAAAGACCAAAGTATCTTGCTACTTTAGCAGCCTTAAATCCATCCCTCTTCACACTTGTGCATTTCTCTCTTGACACATTATCAGCCTTTCACGACGTCTCTGTAATAAGTTTATCTGCAGATGAAGGCAGCTTTGGATCTCTACGTATGAGACTAGTCCAGCTAGTTTGAGATCCATCTGCCTCATGCACGTGATGAGAATTTAAGTAGTGACCATACCACACACGAAGAAAAAATAAGAAATACAGTTCGGAATCCAGAGTCTCTTGCTTATTTCAGCATTTCTCTTATTTTTAGACTTGCCTTGAATCCTATTTGCAAGTGTTGCTTTACGTCGGCCTCCAGAAAGTTTGCTCTTCAGCATAGATAATAAACAAAGGTCCACACGTCCATGAAATAATTTTACACTAAAACCATTTCTCAGATAGCCATTCATTTCGTTTCAGTTTTCAAAACTTTTCCAAGCATTAAAGCTTGATGCGCCCTCTCCTTGTATGAACCAAACACATTAACTGCTGTTCCTATATTTTTAAGTACAGTTCTTTATGTTCCAAAGGCTCCAAGGGTTCAACATCTCTCACAGTCGTCAAGGTGTGTTCTTCTGAAACCCATAACAGTCACATAGGATTGCAGCATAAAAGTCAGATCAGCGTGACCCTAGAGGGGTCATCATCAGCAGTACGAACTCGTTGCATTGGAGTTCAGCTGCTCCGGACCACCGATCCCATTGGATGATGACGACGTCGCAGCCTCCTCCTTGAAACCATGGGAAACATTCCCGTTGGTGTCCCTGCTGCTTCCGCTGTCCGAGCTCAAGCTCATTTGCTTGAGGCTCTCACCAAGCGCTTCCAGCTGCTCCTCGCCGAGCTTGACCTTGTCTTCGAGCTCTTGCCCCATGATGAGATGCCTGGGAAGCATCTGGATGTAGTAGGTGAAGTTGTCGTGCTGGTCATTGGAGATTTTGTTGAGGAGCATGGAGCTAATGGTGGAGTGACGGCCGGTGATGCTCTCCTTCAGCATCTTGGCATCCTGGTATTTAGAGTTGACGGTCACCTTCAGCTTCTCAAGGTTCACCTAGAAAACAAAAAGAAGATGAAAAGTTCACCAAATGAAGTCTATGCTTTTTGAAACACTAGACTGTAAAAATTTGAATATAGCCTCACAAGTCGATGTGAGGAGTATTTTGATTGAAATGTGGAAAATGCATACCGGTAACCAAATTTAAAACAATTTAAAGCAAATAACGTGTGACAACTTGTTCTTTATGCTGAAAATTTACAAGAAAAACAGAGTATATTTGAGGATGGATCTTATAGCTGGTCAATCTCCTGCAGAGTTCCAAACAGCACCTGACTTAACATTCTTAAAAGATTTGATTTTGATTTTGATTTTTAAAGGGTTGGTTAAACATCAGTTAGTCTGGTATCTTACCTTTTCCTCTTCCTCGCTATTCTCTATGCTACCCAGCACACTCTCCACCTTATTGAGCCTACGGGACAGAGAGAGGAGTAGCTTAGTGACCCTCTCGATGTCTGCGATGTACATGTTGCACTTGTTGTATTCACTGGCCTTGCAGGTTGCCTTCACGCTATCCATCACTTGCCTATTGAGAAAAGAAAAGAATATGAAAGATGTTAATTGCATAAAAAAAAAGAGCAGAATACAAGCCCTTACTCTTGGCATCCTCACCCGAACTTTAAATGGCACCTTTCAAACAATTCTTGTGAACTTTTAAAGAAAACTGCTTCATTCCATTTTATAAGGAGAATACAGCCAAAAGAATTTTATCAGATATGACCACTAAAATAAACACCCCCTCACCCCCCCCCCCCAAAAAAAAAGTTAATGGTACATAACAATTGTAACAGCCAATAAGAAGAGAAGAGTAAGGACAACTTCCATCTGACTTTAATTTCTACAATAGACCTACAAAGATCTAATAGACTTCTATTTGATTTAGAGGGACGGACGCACTTACCTGCCCATATCTTCAAGATTTGACATCTCCTCTGCTACCTCCTTCTGAAGATCCTTGATGTCTTCCACCTTCTTACCGATGCGATCCACAAGCTCCTCCTGTTAACGCGATGAAAGAGATAAACATTGTTACAGATTCAATACATAATCACAATGCAAACCAAACAACATGTCAGCAAAGTGTAGTGAATATATATTCATTAAAAGTTACTTGATGGTTTGAAGTAATTGTTAAAGGTAAAGACCAGTATTGGAAACGCCCCAATTTCAAAAAATGAAATGGAAGCTCTCATTACCAATCATGTGAAAGAATATGTTTTGACTAATACATGATGATAAAAAATTTGCCGGGAAACCGCCTACTAATTGATATATTTGGTAAATTTGTTTCTCTCATGGTCTGTGAGAGATATAGGGTAGTCCCATATACATCTTTCTGTGTATAGTGCTTGTAACTTTACGAAGAATGGGCCAAATTTCTTATCATTTTGATGATTCCAGAACCTTGCAGATGCTAGATGCGAGATGATCAACCTTTTCTGATCGATTCCACAACGTTTCTTTCACAATGCAATCGCATGACCATAACTGGTCTTTACCTTTAATAAATACAAGAATGATATCCATTAAAAAAATATTGCTGATTTATAAATAGAATTTTAATACATGCAACATAAAATGCAGTCATATTCTAATCAAATGTGAGGCTTCATGTCCTTGGGTTAACAGGTGGTTATCTCATCAAATCAAATAAGAAAAAGGGGACCATGGGGTACCAACGGTCACCAATTAGGCATTGTTTGCTATATAGAGGGCGCAAGTAGCTTTAAGTAGTGAAGTGGGGCTTTAAAAGAAACTTGATTCTAAGAAGTGGCATCCATCTTTACCTGTGTTTTCCTGAGCTCTGTGTTGTTATTGCCCAGATCATCGCTCTTGTTCATGGTCTGAGCTCTCTGGAGGATGATGGCCTTGGCCGGTGAGATCCGGAGATACCTGGAGCTTGACAGGACCAGGTTCACACACTCGCTAGGACTACTCTGCTCCATCACCATCTCACTCTCACTCCTGATCAGGGCAACAAAGAGAACGGATGGTTAGAATAAAAGTGGCAGAGATATAACATTAGATATAACATCTCTATGTGCTTCCAAAGGACTGGATAAAACAGGGCTTCTTTATTTGAAAACATGTATAAAAAACAAGATTTTGTGATGCTATCTTCAAGTAGGTTCTATAATATTTTTCATAAAATATAACTCTCACAAATCATGATGCATATAAAGGCTTTTTAAAAACCAAAAGAAATTAAACTCCTCTTGGGTCAAATGTTTTGGAAACAGATGAAAATTTGTGAGAATTAAAGGCAGGTACTTAAAATTGTTCCATTTTGATTATCAACTGAAACTTTCATAAGAACCTCAACAAAATTTGTAATCATAAACAATTATCAATAAACTTTATATTCTGAAACTCACTTTGTGGGTGTGGTTACATCCATGGTCATCGTGTCTGACCGACTCGTCTTGGACCTGGGTAGAGGAAAGAGGTCAGATAGGACCGTGTCGCTTGGCGTCAGGGCCTGCAGGACCCACTTCAGCACTGGATTGGAGACCTCTCGAAGCTCCTTGTCTGTCTTCTCCTGCTCTCTGGTGAAGATGTTGCTGCCACTGTCGCAGATGTTGCTGCCACCGTCGCAGGCGTCAAAGGCCTCTTCCTCCGCAACGTCCAGAGGCTCTGGTTCTGCTTGGCTGCAACGGGTGGGCGAGTCCAAGAGCGTCGCAGGACGGATGAGGACTGGGGAGTCCTTGCGGTCAGTGAAGGCGATGTTCTCTTGGACGCTTTGCAGTCGGGGGACCTGCTGCGGGGATGTGGCAGGCTCGACGTCGTGATTGTCCGGTGATGATCGCCCTGAGATGATCGAGTTGGGTGATATCGAGGGTGTCGTCTCTTCTCCTTTGGCTGAGGGTACTTGGTCGACCTGGACATGAATTAGTGAAGGAGCTCTGTGGAAGATGAAAGAGAAAAATCAATTAAACTCCAAAGTCTAGTATTCTACTTAAACCATTTACTGTCTCGTTTTTCAACATCAAGTGAACAATATTTCACAATACAGAACATATGGAAATGGACACAGAGATAAAAAGAAAATAAACTTGAAATGCTACATGTACGCAATTCATACTTTGTGAACGCAGTTTGCAAAGCTGAAGTAGGCATCCTGTTTATGCTCTCCTGATGATAATATAATTCTGAATGGCAAGAACATTGATTTTCCCTTCCCTTTATATACACGATGCAGCGATGAACATGATACATGTCTCGCAATGACTGTAGATAAACTGATGCCATCTGCTAATTATATCAGCATAGGAAGTATGACATGGCTCGTTAAGATTGCGAAACACTATAGCGCTACACAATAACACATAGGCCTCGTTGGATCATTAAAAGATACTTGATTAAGTTTGAAGCATCTCCGGAAGCTACGGATGAAGATCGGTTTACAGAGAGGGGCAGTAACCCGAGATGAAGACCGGTGAATGATCTCATCTCTGCCTTCTTAATCACACTAGACACATTGGCACAGACAGGGAGGATGTGGCATGAGTGGTATGTGATTCAGTTGAGAAAACTCTTAGCTATCTGGAGCTTGCTTGCTATCACTTACAGGTAAACACTCATTCTATTGATATAGACTACAGTGATAGTGAAGAGGATGTGAGAGTGATGACTAAGCTTAATTAGTAAGAGATGAAGAGAGATGGAACTTGGAAGAGGGGGAAGGTAGGGGATGCAGACGAAGAGAAAAAGGGGATCATTTGTCCCTCACAAATTACATCAATGATCAATGTAGGTACCGGTATGTACAAAATAAACACTTTGGAAATGTAACATGACTACTTGACTTATATTTCCTTTTCTTGCAATAACGACAATATAAAAAATACGAAGCTTTAATTAAAAATAATGAGTTGGAAGCCTCAGGTATATCCCTCATGGAATTATTTTCAAGATGCATCATCCAATTGACACCTAAAAAAAAGTATCAATTTCCAGTTGCACAGAAATATTGGACTAATAATGACACCAAGAAACTTGCTAAACTAGGACACCAATTCTGAGACCTTTGAACATTTCCACGTTAGGAATGTTGTCATCCTTCTCACAGAAACTCCTTACATGGGGGGGGGGGGGGGGGGGTCAGGATGTTTACTGTGAATATTACACAAAGTTAACTCTCTTTGGCTTTCTTTGGAGACTTTCACAAAATTTCTTTGAAGATGGAGGAATCTTTCAGGTTTTTGAAGACCTCTCCTTGAACCCATTTCTTCTTGCTAACCAGAACTCTGATGACAATCAGATCTGTCACCGTGGTGATGGCCTGATGATGGAATGTTCTAGTTGGCTTTAATGGATGAGGGGCAAAACAGGTCCATTCCATTACTGATGACCTAATTGATCTGAAGCAGGTCCATAGATCGAATCTAGGGGTTCTGGGTACATTCTCCCCCCTAAACAAAGCAAAGAATAAGTGTAATGTACTGGACACCTTTGACCCAAATGCCCAGATAAAAAAGAGAAGAAATATGCCTGTTTAGCCCATCACAACCCCCTTCATCGTAGTCCCATATATTCAACTCGAGAGCTTCTTGCTCTGTAACTGCTTGATCTAACAGAGATGGAATGTGGCCAAAGGGGGGCGTTAAGAGATTGGTGTTGCGAGCAGCAGGAAATATACCAGGGAGAAGTGACACCAGGCATGTCGGCCTCGGGTCACGATCCCTTTGAACTAGACCGTGAGGGGTAGTGGCCATTTCCCTAATGGTGAAAGACGAGTTGAAAGAATTCTTGCTTTATTTTCTCTTTGCCTCTTTCGAGGATGTGGCAGCAAGTTGCTTAGAATTGTTAATCAGCTCACACTATTTATGGAAATGCTGATTAGTGTTTTTACCTTCAAGAAACACCACTTTCTCAGAAGAGGTTAGTGTTTTCACCTCTTTTACACCTTAACATCAACATTCTATAAGTCACAAAACTGAAAATAAAAGAGGCCTCCAAAATTTAGAGGGTAAGCTACTGTAATTGCTGGAAGTACTAGTTAGTTCAAATTTTGAAAATTTAGACTCTTCAACAGCACAATGATCATGACTTTATTCTAACAATAAAAGTACAGACCCTTACTGTTCCTTACAATAAATTCACCCTCAGTAATATAATAAACCAGCCCACACACATGACCAGATGTGGTCTTTCTAGCACCCTAAATCCTTCAGTATTTCCCCTACAAATTACCCCAGACCATCAAACACAGATGCCCCTTGTGAAAATAGTTCCTCTAGTGACCCCTTCCGAATCATCCCCAAGGAGTGCCATAAATCTCCTGATGAATAACTTCTTCAGTCATCCATCTCACCCAGCACTGGTACTTCCTAAACTGGAGTGATCCCACAGAGCTACCAGGTTCCTTGTTCCATCCCGCTACAAAAACATCCCCTCCACCTAAATAAGCCCAAAGTGACCTCCCTTCTCTACACTTTCAAGATTTTTCCTTGGGGGGGGGGGGGGGGGGGGGGGTTATGACAATGAAACTGCCAAATAAATGTTCAGCTGTTCAAACAGGAAGAGAACTTGTTTCATATCACATTTACTGCCCTAAAAATGATGTGGGCGGATATGTGATTCTTGTTATCGCCATGGGAGTGAAAGAGTGGTGCTGCCCACTCTGCATATCGCACTATAGCATCTTTTTTTTTTTTACTTTCTATAATCCGCTAGGGCACTATGAACAATATCAAACCAAATACTGTTGTTTGAGAATGTCAAATTGTATGCCTTGTTGTAAACTAGCATAATGTCATACATAGTCTGGGAGTGTCCTGAAAGTTGAAACAGTCATCCACCTGTTTGTTCAATAGGCTGAATGCAAGTAGCACATGATAGCTGTTGCTTTGTTAGGCAAACTTCAGTAGAGGGATCACTATTCACTAGACACCATTGTACTAGGGCCCTGACTTGAATTTGAATAAATTCCTGGACTGATCAGGTGAATTTGAATACATCCCTGAACTGTTCTATTGAATTAGAGATAAGGTGTATTGTGTTTTAGGGTTCACAGGTTCAACTGAAGATTGATATTCGAATATGGGTATTCAGCTGATGAATGTTTATGCATGAATTCAACCAGACAAACCTCTGGGGTGGTGACTTGAGCTTGATTTACCAACTGTGCAAAATTGAACATATTTTCTGGTAGGTATATAACTGGGAGCATTGATGAGTGTTCAACTAGAGGCAGTGAGCGCAACAAGGCCAGTGTACAGTAACGCATGTAACCATCTTGTTTACAAGTGATGATGTCATCATCATTTGTATAACACAAGTGATGATGTCATCATCACATACATCACACACTACTCTACAACATAATACTTTTCCAACACACCCTAACCCTAAAGCTGTATGCTGGCCTCGTTTATTTTCATATTTATGTCAGCACTTTTCTGCTGGCATAAATCTGGTAATGCTATTTGGGCTGCGTTTTCGTCTCGAAAGCAATTTATGTTAATTAATGTCAACACACATTTATACCCATCACAGGTAGGGGAGAAATGTGCAGAGGAAAAATCCTACAGGGAATTTATTTAAAAAAAAATTAACACTATGGATATATTACCAATTCAGCCAATTGGACGAGCTGATTAACAACTTTGTCTGATTTTTGTGTATCATGAGTTGAGGGGACATGGGATATTAGTAGACACATCAATAAAACCTTTTTGCCTGAATACACACCTCAGAAAGGGTGAAGTTTGTGCTCAACAATTCTAAAAATAGTGTCTGATAAGAACAAAATATTGATAAACAAATGCTATAAATTATCTCTTGAATCCCATTTTTCTTTTCTTGATGGTTGTTACTTATGAGATTTTATTTTAGACACAAAGTTACATCTTAATAAAGTCTGAATACTAAGACTGCCAAGGGAGGATTCAGATACCACAGACTACCTTGTGACCTCAGGTGACCTTACCCTCAGGCTATGATGACCTCATCTTACAAACAGAAATGGGGAGACACCAATGCAGTATAGATAATAGATAATTTAGTACAAATCCATGTAACAGAGCTACATTACTGTTTCAGCTAGGTTACAAAGAGAAAATTCTATACATCATGCTATAATTCAACTCAACAGATGGAATGAAACATATGGCCCTCTTTTCTTGACAAGACCATATTTCATATTCTTGAGTCTGAAGCATTTCAGGCTCACTTCAAACATTTGTCTATAACAAATTTCTATGTGTGCTTTCCAAAATTGAATGCCATTTCATTTTTATCAATGTCTACATGGCTCCTTATTGTAAAGTTCGATCACCAAAAATGAACCCTTTTTGGAGGGGGGGGGGGGGGGGTTAAATTTATTTAAAGAGTAGCATGTAAATGAACTTGAATGCCCTTTATTTCCCTCCAGAAGGATTCAATTTCACACTTGATTTACTTTTCCCAATTTAGCACTCTCTTACAACAGTAAATTGAGCCCGAAGTTGTTAACAATAGGGCAACTTGGCACAAAACCTCAATAACCAACATAAACTGGGGAAGAAAAAAAAAAGGTGCTATAAATTTAAGTGGAGAGAATCAAAATGCCAAGTTCACAATTTCTGACCTTTTCAAAGTGCAGAGGCTCAATCAAGGATTTGGAGTGCTAGTCCAAGAAATAAGAGCCGTAATCTGTAAAACGACACTAATCACTTGTCGAGACCTATGGGCACACCAAGAATGGGAGAAGCTAAATCATTGAGGGTTTTTATACAAAAGCAGCTCGACTGAACCATTCAAGTAAATGAGACATGGTTGGAAGAAAAACCTCTACAGAAACCTTCAGAATCGAGTCTCAATGTTGCTTTGACCGCAATGGCAGGTACATCATTGGTTTCATAATGATTTGATCATTCACTACGGATAGTTTGTATTGTAATTTTGAGCTATTGTGAAAGGA